AGTAGCTACTGCTGCACAGCATAGCAGTTCTAAGTAACAGCAGGGGAGCACATATTTCAAACAACCTGCTGAAGGACATGCTAAGTTTTTACCATGAAAACTATGTACCCAGCAGGGTATCAAAGCAGATGCTGAGACTCATAGCCAAACTTTGGGTATAGTACAGGGAATCTTATAAAATAAGGGGGAGATAGATAGAAAGACCTGGAGGGCATAGGAGCTCCACAAGGAGAGCAACAGAACCAAAAAATTTGGACACAAGGGTCTTTTCTGAGACTGAGACTCCAACCCAGGACCATGCATGGAGGTAACCTAGAACCCTGCACAGATGTAGGCCATGGCAGCTCAGTGTCCAAGTGGGTTCCCTAGTAAGGCGAACAGGGACTATCTCTGACATGAACTCAGTGGCTGGCTCAGTGGGAAGGGGAGGAGGACCTCCCCTATCAGTGGAGGTGGAGAGGGGCATGGGAGGAGATGAGAGTGGGAGGGTGGAATTGGGAGTGAATGAGGGAGGGGGACTGCAGCTGGGATAGAAAGTGAAAAAACTATAATTAATAAAAAATAAATTAATTTAAAAAGTATCAGAGCTATGTTCAATCTGACTTGAATACTACATGGTGTACACATAAAACATCTATGCATATGCACAATTTTTGGTGTTTTATATATCAGTTAAAACTAATTTTAACACATTTTTAAAATAACCAGCACAGGTGCTGGAGGTGTGGCTTAGCACTTGAGAGCACTGGGCGCTCTTTCATATGACCTAGTCAGATTTCTAGCACCCTCTCAGTGGCACACAACCATGAGTAAACTTCAGCTCCAGGGGATCCAACACCCTCTTCTTGACTCCATGAAGAAAATGTAGGCAAAATACCCACACATCGAAGATAAAACAGTACAGTAATTTTTTAGAAAATCAATGCCATAGTTGTAAACTGAAAAAAAATTAATTTAAAATAATATAATTCTTTAAGAAAAAAAAGTTGCTTTGTGATCACATCCATGATTAGCATCACAAGTCTCTGTGTGTCTGGGTTCAGCCTGTGCTGCTTGTAAACAGAATTATTTGACAATTACTATACATATGCTCAACACATAAAGTACCGCTGTGGCCCCTGGGGATAGAAGAGAAGGAATTAGGAAGACCTTTCATCTCCTATTTTTAATATAATTTTTGCTGGATAAACATGAGATTTCCCCAAGGGTTAATCTTGAATAAGCTCTTAATTAAAAGCCTGATTCGGTATATTTGTATTCCAAAGCCTGAGTTGCAGTCTTTGCAGCAGACTCCAAATTCTATCAGTGAGGCGAGTGGGTGCCATGTGCCACTTTTCCAAGATGGGAGCTGTTTTTCTATGACTTAGGCCATGAAATCACCTGAAGTTGCAGTGATGGAGGCCCAATGAGCAGAGTGCAGATGCTGTGAAAGAGGCCCAGTGGGCAGTGTGAGGTTGCAAAGATGCAAGCCAGGCCAGCAGTGTGATGTGCAGTGATGGAGGCCGGGTGGGCAGTGATGGAAATTAGATCTCAAAGAAGTAATCAACCCTCAGCTCTGGCTGAGATTTCACAAACCCTTGGGATAAAGCTAAATGTTGCCCTTGTTCTCAAAATAAACTCAAATGCTCCACTTTCTAACCAAACCTGTAAAAGGATACTGAGTATATATTTTGACTTGTTACACTAATGGGTGAGTGTGTGCCATATAAAATAAATGTTCATAAACAAAGAGCAATTATGATGGCTAGTTTATAGGTTTGTATAGGCTAAAACCCCAAGGAGACAGACCAGCCAGAGCAATATGCACCTAGAATCACAGTAAATCTTTGATAAGTTCAGTTTTATTCTTCTGTCATTTTGCTCACTTTTTATTGAAGGGCCACTCTGATACCACCACATCTAATAAACAATGTAGAATTCAAATAGTTCATTACAAATGAGATAACTAAGAGTTGATATTTTCTTTTTTAAATTTTTATTTATTTATTATTTCTTACAATTTAATCACTTTGTATCCTGGCTGTAGGCTCCTCCCTCATCTCCTCCAAGTCCCACCTTTCCTCCCCTTTTGCCCCTCCCCTAGTCCACTGATAGGGGAGGTCCTCCTCTTCTCCTACTGACCCTAGCCTGTCAGGCCTCATCAGGACTGGCTGCACCCTCTTCCTCTGTGGTATGGCAAGGCTGCACCCTCACCCCCTGAGGGAGGTGATCAAAGAGCCAGCAACTAGAGTCCATGTCAAAGACAGTCCTTGCTCCCCTTACTAGAGTACCCACTTGGAGATGGAGCTGCCTATGGGCTATATCTGAGCAGGGTGTCTAGGTCCTCTCCATGTGTGGTCCTAGGTTGGAGCATTGGTCTCTGAAGGACCCCTGGGCCCAGATTTTTTGGTTCTGTTGCTCTCCTTGTGGAGCTCCTGTCCCCTCCAGGTCTTTCTATCTCTTTCATAAGATTCCCCTTCTTTCATAAGATTCCCTGCACTCTGCCCAAAGTTTGGCTATAAGCCTCAGCATCTGCTTTGATACCCTGGTGGGTAGTCTTTCAGAGGCCCTCTGAGGTAGATTCCTGTCCTGTTCCCTGTTTTCTCCCTCTTCCGATGTCTGTCCTGTTTGCCTTTCTGAGTGAGGATTTGTCATCTTACCCAGGGTCCTCCTTCTAGTCTCTTTAGGTGTACAGATTTTAGTATGTTTATCCTATATAACTCAAAAAGTTAAAAATGCAAATATATCCATACTTATCACCCTGTACAAAACTAAAGTCAAGTGGATCAAAGACCTCAATATAAAATCAGACACACTAAACCTGTTAGAAGAAAAAGTGGGGAAGAGCCTGGAACTCATTGGCACAGGAGACAACTTCCTGAACAGAACACCAACAGCACAGGCTCTAAGATCAACAATCAATAAATAGGACCTCATAAAACTGAAAAGCTTCTAAAAAGCAAAAGATATTGTCATCAGATCAAAATGATACCCAACAGACTGGGAAAGGATCTTCACCACCCCTATATGACAGAGGGCTAATATCCAGAATATATAAAGAACTCAAGAAGTTAAAAAGCAATAAATCAAGTAATCCAATTAAAAAATGGGGTACAGAGCTAAACAGAGAATTCTCAATGGGGAATATCAAATGGCAGAGAAACACTTAAGGAAATGCTCAGTGTCCTTAGTCATCAGGGAAATGCAAAATCAAAATAACCCTGAGATTTCACCTTAGAATTTGTTTTAAAAAATGTTACTCAATAAATAAAAGTGGAGGAAAAATAACCACACCCAGCAATTCAAACAAGAGAAAAGATGAATAGCCAATATATATGAGCTTCTCAGGCTTATTAACTACAATCATACAAAATTTATACAAAAGGCAGTGACAGACTGCTCTAAGATATGGGTAATTTGGATAATACTGAAATGTTGGACACCATGCTGAGAAGCAGTCATCCTTTGCAGAAATATCACCTACTGCAACTTGATACTTAGTAAACTCCACACTGTGAGTAGTTCTTGGACAAAATACATGCCCTGAGGAAACAGTTCCTCCATTGGCTTCTGAAGACAGGGTAGAGGGCCCTTACACCTGCTTCTACATACACCTCTTCAGTGGAACAGCCCAGATCTACACCTCTGTGGTTACACACTTTGTTTGTATACTCATGGCATGGAATACATGAACAAACTATATATATCACTTTGGGTTGTCTTGAAAGTAGGAAATTGAGAGGCAAAATCAATTATTAAAGGATATTTGCAATATAATATAACTTATGCAAAAATTAAAACCTATAATAACTGTGCTGTACTATTTATATAGAAAATAAACATTTAGAGAAAATAAAAAAAACAAGAAATAGAGCAAGAAGTACCTCTACGGGAAAAAAGAAAAGGATAAGGGAAAATCTCTATTAAAGATGCTTCATTTATTTACTTCTATTTCTTTAATTAAAAGGTCTAAGAGTAATTATGGAAAAATGGTAAATTATATTGTACCTGAATGGAAAGTGCATACATATTTGTCATGTTATATAAGTTTATATTATATAACATAGACTGATTATACAATATAAACCATATAATCTAAATTATTATATAATATACTTCTAATGTACAAATGCTTTATAATTTATATTTTATAACATAAAAATACACATTTTTAAAAGTTTCCTATGAAGATATTTCATAAATCACAGAAAGTTCTTCCCCAACAAACAGACCTCACACTAAACACTACAAAATAGAATTTACCTCCCTTCATTTGTTGTTAATCATTACTGTAAGGAATATGGTCTACGTTGTTTAAAGATTAAAGACTGGATAGTGCCAAAAGAATTTAGGAACCTGGAGTTTCTTTCAGGAAAACTTGCAAAAATTAAAGACTATGGAGATCTACAAAGATCCAAAAGTCATAAAAATGAAAGGTTTCCAGAAGTTAGCAAGATGACCAAAAAAAAATTTCTTATAATTTAGAAGTCAAAGATAACAATGTTAATTTTTTATGAAATGTGAAAATGTTCTGGCTGAACTTTAACTGGGTGGCATTTAGAGGCTCTTATGCAGGGCATATGCTTATTTCTTTTCCTATTGCTGTGATAAAACACCATGACCACAGGGCAACATACAGAAGGTAGGCTTTATTTGGGCTATAGGAGTAAGAGTCCATCACTACCACAATGGGGAAGGGTGGCAGCAGCTGACCGCTCACATCTTAAAGCACAAGCATGAAGTAGAGAAAGCAAACAGGGAATTGAGTGTGGCTTTGACACCTCAAAGCCTGTTCACATTGACACACTTCCACCAAAGCCCAGTTTCGTAAACCTATCCAAACAATGCCACCAACCAAGGACCTAGTATTTAAACATCTAACCCTACTAGGAACATTCACATTCAAACCACAACTGCACGTGAGCAATATGATTGCTCAAATGATAACAGATATCAAAGTATTTTTCTGAATGTCAAAACTCCAATTAGTAACATATTACCAAGTTCACATAGCAACATACCTGGAGAAGGAGCCTTTCAAATGCCAGAAAGTTATCCCACTTGGCAGTCTGAGGGTGCTTCAGAGTTTGAGCTGTGGCCATCCCAAGCTGTAGGAGCCCACAGTGATTTGTAAGAGCTCTAAGGTTGTTCTTGAACAGCTGAATATAGGACATGAGCTGCCCTGGAGTGACTCTTCCTGGAGAAACATAAAAAGGTATCAATGTACCCTCTTCACATTACGGAAAAATGACAAGGAGCCTATGAACAAAGCTACTGTCTTAAAGGTGCACAGAATTCCAGAGCTAATCAATTTTTTGAAACTATTATGATTCTTCCAGCAAGGCAAGGACAACAGCAAAGATGATCATATTTGCTGCGTTTGCAAGGAAAAGAAAAAAGAATTCAGCCAACTGGCCAAAGACATATTGAGAGTAGAACTCATTTGACAATTCCCTAGTATCCTGGAAAGTTTTCAAATATTTGTTGATCTCAACATAGAGTATCTATGCATGACATATGATACAAGAATCAAAGAGGTACATAGAAAGCTTTTTAATTGTGTGTACATGTATAAAAAAGCATGTTAGGATTATGGCTAAAACTTTCACCACTGGTATCAAGAACTTCATAACTGTATTCATGAGGTTCAAGGCTGTATATTACACGGAACAAAATTCTCTGAATTTCAACTGCTTATTGTTATACTCACAGTTATTTTAATTGTTAACAAAACCACCTGCGTTGACTCAGCACCTGCAGGTGCTTAAAAATAAAAATAAAAAAACCTCTTCTGACTCTCAGGGCAACAACAGGAGGCAGCAAACTAAGCCCATACTCATCTGTTAGCCTCACCAAAGGCACCCAGAGAGAGCTATCTGCCAGTGTTAGCCAGCAGATACTACCTAACAAGAAGATTGTGATACTCATAAAACAGACCTGGGCATTAGAAACTTAAAATCTTCAATCATGTCTGCTTTTTAAAAATAATTTCGTGGCAAATGGTGGCATCTAGAAAGGTCATCCTGAGTGAGGTATCCCGGAAGCAGAAAGAAACACATGGTATACACTCACTTCTAAGTGAATACTAGACATATAATATGGAATAAACATACTAAAATCTGTACACCTAAAGAAACTAAGCAAGAAGGAGGACCCTGGATAAGATGATCAATCCTCACTCAGAAAGGCAAATGGGATAGACATCGGAAGAGGGAGAAAACAGGGAACAGGACAGGAGCCTACCACAGAGGGTCTCTGAAAGACTCTACCCACCAGGGTGTCAAAGCAGATGCTGAGACTCATAGCCAAACTTTGGACAGAGTGCAGGGAACCTTCTAAAAGAAGCGGGAGATAGAAAGACCTGGAGGGGACAGGAGCTCCAAAAGAAGAGCAACAGAACCAAAAAATCTGGGCACAAGGGCCTTTTCTGAGACTGATACTCCAACCCAGGACTATGCACGGAGATAAACTAAACCCCTGCACAGATGTAGCCCATGGCAGCTCAGTATCCAAGTGAGTACCCTAGTAAGGGGAACAGGGACTGTCTCTGACATGAACTCAGTGGCTGGCTCTTTGATCACCTCCCCCTGAGGGGAGAGCAGCCTTACTAGGCAAAGGAAGACAATGCAGCCAGTCCTGATGAGACCTGATAGGCTAGGGTCAGATGGAAGGGAAGGAGGACCCCTAGCAGTGGACTTTGGTGAAGAGCATGGGAGGAGATGAGGGAGGGAGGGTGGGATTGGTAGGGGATGAGGGAAGGAGCTACAGCTGGGATACAACATGAATAAACTGTAATTAATATAAAAATAAAATTAATATTAAAAATAATTTTGTGAAAAGATTAAGAAATACTAAAGTTCCTTTTTATCAATGTATGATGGTAAGCATCTAAGAAAAAGAACAAGAAATGACTATACCTCATGATTTTCTCTGGTTCTTCAACAAGGTACAGACTCATCCTAATGTCTGTCTATCTGTCTATCTATCTATCTATCTATCTATCTATCTATCTATCTA